CTCCTGATGGGAAGAGCTTGAGAATTCCACTGGAGGTACATTGAGATCTGTATTTACCACCTCTGGGATTCAGATCTTTTTTAACAAAATAAGTTTTTATATTGAAGTGGATAACTTAGGAGTGTGGGATAGCAACAATCAAGTTGTGAACTTCCCCACAACAAAGTTAATGGCATAATGGTTGCTTAAGGAGTCTGGATTGATCCTTTAGACCTCTTAAAGTAATCTTTTTTGGATATTATGTGTATCTAGCTATATGTGTGTGGGTAAATTTATTTAAACATGTAAATATTTATAAAATGATACATACAATTATGTTTCTTATATGTTGTTAGGTAGTAGTACTATCCTATAATACAGTTAGATGAAAGGTTACTTAACAGCTCTTCAAGACGTATTTTTGTAATGCATATTTACACAGTGACTGCTCATGTGTCAAAATTCTTAAATTTTGGTTATTTTTGTCGTGTCTGTTCCCTGCGTCCCGCCATGCACCATGGTGGAACGTAGGGGCCGGGGTTTCACACACACATGGGCTTTATTTACTCACAAAGCTCCGTAAGTCCTTTGCAGGAGGAGGAAGAAGGGGGAGTATGGAAAGCGCATCACAAAATCCTTCAGTAACTGCTAAGCAGCCTGCTTTTCGTCTTTGATTGTCTCTTTTCCTTATGTATATTAATGCAAGAAGTGATTGCAGGCAGTCCTTTTTTTTTTTTCTTTTTTTTTTTTTTTTTTCCCCTGGTGATGGGTTTTGGTCTTTTAGGCTAACAGCAAAGCAACCAGGGTATCTCTTTCCCAAATGTGTTATTGTGATTAAGCTGAACAGAACTCTTCTTAGCTGCTTTGTGAGTGTCTGGGCTTGAGGCAGTCTGCTCTGTCGCCATGTTACACCGTGGCCACACATGGCAGGTTTATGCTGGTAAGCTCGTGCCTTATTCAGCCTTCGCCTGGCTGTGAAGCTGTCCTTGACAAGGAGAATAAAGGAATTCCTCGCACCCATGTCTGACCTGCGTGCCCGGCTTTTGTGGGTGTCTTCCTGAAGATGGTTGTGCTGCTGTGGCATCATTACCAGCTTCGAGCGAGGCACCATTTTTGAATGTTGATTCTATGGCAGATTTTAAGCCTTAGGGACTTAAAGCTTAGCAGTAATTGAGGAATGGTTTCATAAAAGTTCCTGGGCTGATGAAGAAAGATGGGACTGTTAAAAAGAAAAAAATGGAAATAATAAGTCTGTGCTGCCTGCTATATAATCTTAGGGGAAAAAAGGGAATATAAGTGATAAGAGGGTAAAAAAAGTCCTTGCAGAATGAGGTGCCGCATGGCATGGAAGCCCAGAGCTATCTGTCTGCTTGCTTTTTTTGAAAAATGCCTTACAGATACTGTATTCAGGCAATTCTGTATTGGTGTTTGCCATGCATGAGTATATACTGAACGTGCATATGAACAAATACCTGAAGAAAAACTAAAATTAACTTTTACTGTTGAAATTGTGATATATCAGCTTTTAGACTTTGGTTTTCCTTTCTAGCATTTGTATCTGGTTTGTGCCTCTTTGGGTATGCTACACAATTACGTTATTGCTGTCAACAGAAGTAAGTATCCATTACACAGGGTTTCTGTCAGTGCATAACTAGACAAAAATCTTATTTGTAGAAGCTTTATCATATTAATATATGAAGAGTAGACGCAGATTGTACGAACTCCTATTTACAGTATGGATTTAACTTTTGAAAACAGCAGTCTAATAGAATCCTGATGTTACCATATATCACAGTATGCTTTATAGTACCGTAGGGTGTTGCAAGTCCCATTGTGAAGTGATGGGAATTCAGAAGCATTTCAAGAGATGGGGCATTTCAAAATATGACTGTTAAAATATTGGCAGACATGTGAACGGGTCTGGCAAGAGGCTCGGGTTTGTAGAAGCTTTAAAGCTTAGTCTATTATTTTAAATGGTACAGTAGTACATTGAACTTATTTGACCAAGATATTAGTATTCAATGGTATGAATCAAACCCATTATTTCTAACTTAAGAGTATATAGTAACAAATAAATTGCATTTATCACGCTCTTTATAGCCGAACTGCATGCATTCAATTCTCTTTGGTAGTTTTACAACCGTTCTCTCAACTGTGGTACTGCAGATAGTTAACCTTTAGATTAATTTCCTAAGGCAACAAAGCTTAATAGTACCTCTTTCTGTTCCTCTTCAGTAGTTTTTCAACTCGCTTCCCACCAAATTTTGCACAAGGTTGGGTGTCTTAAGGTATTCCTATGTTTCGAGGAGTAGGGGTGGAGAGCCATATAGAGAGAAGCAGCTCTGCTAGAGCCCCACTACTGTGGAGGGAAAGGCTGTAGTGGAGGTTTAATGTTTAGTAGGTGCCAAAAATCAGCTTGACAGATCAAGAATGCCCCAACCACAAGAAAAGCTTTAATCGAATTTGGCAGCTTATTAGGAAATCTAAACATAGGACAGATTGGCAATAGGTTCTATGGCTCACAGACATCTATGTATTTCAATTAACATGTGCTTATGGACAAACCTTCCTCAAGAGCCAACTTCCCACCAAAATAATGCAACGTTTTAACAACTTGATACCTTCTGTTTCCTCTAAGCTACAAACAGAGCTGTAGTAATTAGACATTTTACCTTGTCTTCAGGGATTTGGGCTGTATTATTTCACGAAGGTAACAATGTGATTAGCTTTCCTGGCAAAAGAATTCTTGGGTTTTTCATTTCTCTAAATGTATTCTGCAGAAACGTACCTAAATTTCTCTGAAATACGATGTATAGTTTACACAGAAGGCAGAATCTTTTGCCCTTCATTTCATCACCTTACACATCCAACATTTTTATAATACAGTAATATTTCCGTATGATACAGCACATGCAGATTTTGAATTTATAAGCTGCTGCTTTTAACTTCTTAATGTTGGAGCAGAGCCAGAATATGTGAAAATTAAATGCACACACTGGGCACAGTGTCACATTCCTGCCTGAGCTGTGTCAAACCTCAGCTTCTCTGCTTGTTTCCAGCACATCGCAAAGAAATAATTAGAAACTGGTTTTGCTCAATCACTTCCTTTGAATGTTTAGGATATCCACTGTAGTATTTCATAAGAATAGCATAATCAGTGTTATTCCTGTCATCAATATTAGAATTATTTCCTCATAAATGAAAGTCTACAATGGAAATATTCAATGCATATTGAATTTTCCCTAGCATAAAGGACAGTAGATGGGGGTTACTATGGAGGAGCTTAAACCCATTTCTGTCATATGATAACTTGGTCCTTTAGTCTTATCAACAATTTATTCAGTGCTTAAGATATAATGAAAAATCAGCATAATAGTCACTTGCCTGTCTCCAGGTATTTATTTTATTTTAAACTTTTTGACAGTAAAAAAGTATTCATGCTATTTGCTGGTACCATGCAGTGAAAGTTTTTTTCACTTTCTACGGGTACCCTTGGTTGATTGCTGCTCCCCAAATATAATTCATGTGCAATGGCTGGAATGTTTTCATGTTTTTGATTTTTTTTTTTTTTTCCCCTCCCTCCTTTGGAATTTGATGTGTAACTCTAGATGATTACCTACTGGTGGAAACCTTAGTGTAATTCATATAAAGTGAGGGGGTCTTGATGCCAAAAATGAAGATGTAACTGATGAGAAAGCCAGTGCATATTTGCTCTGCTACTGCTTCTTTAAGAATGAGGGAAATCTGGATGCACCATTTGATGTAGCTCTGCTGCATTTTAGCGTTTGTTGCCAGCATGCAGCAGATCTCTTTGCCTCACAGACTTTGGCAGTATCACAGAGGTCATATTTTCCTATGTATAAATTATTCATGAACAATTTCTCCAGTGCACTAGATAAACTTGCAGAGATCAGAATGCGTGCTTCTCTTCCTCTCATCCCTACAACTGGCCATATTCTAATAGGCAGTGCAGAAAGAAAACCCACAACCTGTCTTCCTCTGTGTGCATTGGATGGAATGGATTGATATAAAGTTAGGAGAGGAAAGGTCACAAAAGCAAAAAATAAATAACTATGAATGTGTGTGTGTGGGGGGGTTGTTGTTGACTTGATACCACTAGTTTAGTTGACAAAAAAAATGTTGTTACGGTGGGTTGAGGTGTGTCGTACGCATTCAGGATTGGGTTTCAGCTGAAAGGAATCTGTCTGGTGAGCTAGGCAGAAAATTCTGTCCCTACAGCACCAGTGCAGAAAGAAATGAGAGGGAAAGGACAGGAAAGCTTAGAGTGTCCAACCCATATTCCAGCTTAGCCCATCTCTACCAATGGAATAATTCCCTTTCAGTCCTGCTGTCCCCTATGCTTCCCGTCACATCCATCAGTGAGTTTTGGAAAGATCTACAACAATACAGCAGGAACCTTAGCTTGGAGGTAGCCTTCATGTAGTTCTTGTTACATGCCTCTAATAGATTCCTGTACTGGAGCAGTTTCACTCGTTTAAAAAAAAAAAAAATCAGACCACAACCATTATTTTATGAGATGATTACAGCCATGTGCTGTAACTCCAGTCCCCTTTCTCATTGGTCTTATTTAGCCAAAAAAACCTATTTCTGTGAAAACTCTTCTGGTACAATATGTAGCCGATGCACTTGCATTTTGCAGCATCTGAGCCTGCAGCTTGGGGCCTTTGGGCGTGTGGCTGCTGCGTGGGTGGGTGCCCACGCCAGTCGGACCGCTTCCCATCCAGGGGTGGGCAGCCGCTCTCGTTCACCCAGCGTCTGTTTGCCTGATGAGTTGCAGGCTGATGCTGCGGAGAGGTTTTTGGAATGAGTTCACGACATAGCCGCTCACAATGCCTTGACTATGATACAAAGGGACAAGTTCGTTCCAGTGGAGAGATTCTGTGGCTCTGCACAGCAGTAATCATGTGTAACGATGGACAGTTACAGTGCAATTACTTGGCTGTTTGGTTTTTTTCATTACACTCATTGCTGATCTTTGATCCCTCTGTCCTCTTTCCCAGGTCGTCCCATTCCACCTACATCCTCGTCTAGCCTTCTCCCATCTGCTCAGCTGCCCAGTTCTCATAATCCTCCACCAGTTAGCTGCCAGATGCCATTGCTAGACAGCAACACGTCCCATCAAATCATGGACACCAATCCTGACGAGGAGTTCTCTCCTAATTCATATCTGCTAAGAGCGTGTTCAGGGCCACAGCAGGCTTCCAGCAGTGGTAAGAAAATTGCAAACATATGGAGTTTGTTTGTGATGTGTTTGTGCCGGGTTTATGCATTTTTTGTGCAAACGTGTTCTTACCTCACCACAAAATTGAGAGCATATATGGAAATGAGGCAAACAAAAATTTCACTGCTTTACTTCAAGGAAACTTATTTGGAAACACTGTACATCATGTGTGTTTTTCCTTCATTTTGCTATAGAGAGCTTTTCCATTTTAGGAGTGTTGCAAGTAGTGTAGAAAATATAGAATTCTTGTCATCAGAGGGATTTATTTTTTAAAGAGGTTTCCTGCTCCTTGATCCATCTTGTAAAAGGGAGGTGTACACACAGTGGTGGTGTGTTCTGCACAGGCTACTCCAACATCTCATGTAGGTGAGGAGGTTCTGTATCTGAAAATGTTTGTTGCTGCTGCCATTCTGTGTCTGTTCTTGTTTCAGAATCTGTCTGATGCTATGCTCTCGATGTCACATTTAACTAAGATACTGCTATTTTTCAGCAAATTAATTCTTGTCTTTCAGGCCACTGTTTTAAAACATTTGCAACTCTGCTGTCAGTCATACAATCTGTAGTGGTTAGGGTTTTCTTTCGTTTCTTTTATTTTTTTTATTTTATTAACAGATGCTGACTTTTCATTTTGACAGCTGAAAATTGAGAAATGAAGATGCAATCCCTTTTTAGAAATACAGGCAAAATAAAAGAAGGCTATTATAGCTCATTTTTTTGCTTTCTGTTTTGAACGTAGATAACTGTTGTGCAGTTCCCGCCTATTTAACTAAACACTATACGTTTATATCTTACGTGCAGTTTATGGTCTGCTCAAGGTCGCTCTTTCTTGTACCACTACATATCTGAGCAGTATCGGAGGTAGCATGTGGTGTGGAACTGAACTGTTGGCCTCTGTGGGTGCAAACATCACACAACACAGTGGCTGGTGGTGCGTGGTGGGACGATGAGCCAATGAGTAGAAGTTGAAGCATAAGATTCAGAGTCGATACAAGGTAAAACTTTTTCCTAAGCATTGGTTTGAAACAGGTTGTCCAGAGAGCCTGTGCAGTCTCTGTCCTTGGAGGTTTTCAAGAACAGGTTGGTTAAAATCCTGAGCTACTTGGTCTGACCTCAGAGCTGCCCTTGCTTGGCAGGAGGCTGGACTAGGAACCTCCTGGGGTTCCTTCCATCCTGAGTTATCTTTTAACTTTATGATCCGTTCAGGTATGTTAAAATATAATTACCCAAATGAATAATAATTCAGAGATTGAGCACACTTCCTTGGTACTTGAGGTTTGAGGGTGGAAAAAAGGATATGAGGTTGGGGCAGGCGGGGCTTTAAGAGGTTTGGGAGGATCTGGGGAGCTGCAGACCTCAAAATCTGTAATGGGCAACTCAATAGCAACCATAGAAATGAAAAAAAAAAAAAAAAAAAAAGAAAAGCGTCTGATCTATTCTTGATGAGTCAGTGTAGTTTCTGTAAAGAGTAGTCTTGCCTTAGAAACAGTTAGGAGTTCTTTGAAGGGGCCAGCCATTTCTGAACAAGGGTGATCTAGTTGATGAAGGGTCTTTGTACTTTCAAAAGGACCTCAGCAAAATCTGTCGCTAAGTGCTTTTAAGGAAACTAAACTAACATAGGGTAAGAGGCAAGATTACTGCATGGTAAATTGTTATTTGAGAAATGGTAAGCAGAAGCTGGAGCTCCCTGATGAGTTTCCATGGCACATGAAGATACTTTCAGAAGAGGGTGAGCTGTGGGGTAAGAAAGGTGACTGATGGCAGGGTGCTAAGGATGAGATCAAACTATGAAGAATCACAAAAGGACTTTGTGAGACCAAGTAACAGGGCAATAAAATGGCAGAGGAAATTCAGGGCAGTGAAAAATAAAGTGATGTTAATAGAAAAAGCAGCTCTGGTTCCCTGGTTAGTGATGGACCACTACCAATCAGGAGTGAGTTGTTGGGGGTGTGCATGCTTCATCTTGGAGCTCAGGAACAGGTGAATGTTGACAGCTGAAGAAAGGAATAAAGAACAAAGCGGAGAATATCGTCTAAAGGATGTGGTGGATCAAACAGTTTATAAGGGTTTAAAAGGGAATGGGAGAAGTAAATGGGAGAGAGACGCAATGAAGGTTGCTAAGTAGAAGAAAATCAAGGTCAGGGAATGTGAACCAAAAAAAGAGACTTGGAGGATCCTTGAACACTTGGTATTTATAGCTGCTGTTGGAGACTGAGTGAGCCAGCATGGCTTTTGTTATGGAGGCAAATGAAGGAAGTTGCAGTAAATAACATCTGAAAATTTGATTGAAGAGCTCTGTTTCATTTTAAATAAAGTCATTTTTTCCTTATATCTTAAAAGCTTTGTGTTTCACACTTGTTACTATAGACTGACCCAAGGAACCTTTTAACATACTCAGATATGCTTTGATTTGTTTATGAATGGCTGATTTGTTCATTCTATATTTTAAAAATTTTTCCCCCAAATATTCCATTTCCTTTTTTAATAAATATATAAAGACTTTTAGTCTTCAGGGTATAAGAACTATGGGTTTTTTTAATCATAGACACATGCATAATTGTTTGCTCACCACTGCGAGCATTCTATAGCATGAGCTCTTCTGGAATTAGTAAATCCTCTGGAAACTAGTAAGCATTTGCTAGCAATTTTTTCTTTTTTTTTTTTTTTTTTTTTTTTTGCTGTGTAGTTCTCACAATGTTTCCTTGAGAGAGTTTATAAGAAAATACCACAAATAGTGACATATACCTTAAATTGGAAAAGCTCACTTTGTGGCTCATCCTTATTCTTCAAAGATTTTCAGAGTAGCTTTTACCATCTACATGATATGGAAAGGTAGATGATTATTTGATTATTTTTTTTAATATTTTTTAAAATCTGTTTCAGTTCCTATGGAAACTTAGCAGCATAAATCCAGACATTTGAGAGAGTAAATAAAATTATACCTATTGTTTAAATTTGGGGTTGGATTGAAAAGGAAGATTTGAAGATATTTATATTTAAGGCTTAGATTCCAGATAATCTTTGATCATTAATAAGTATTTGCTAGCACTTTCTAGGTTCTTCTTTAAACATTTCTATCACAGTCTTCAAAGTACATGCTGAAGATGAAATATTTGCAGAAGTCTTGTACTTCTCATATATTATATAGTAAGTGTCCTCTTGTTTGTCTGATTGTACACTTATGCTTGCTTCAACCTCTACAATTACAAGATAGCTCCTCAACAAGTTCAAGATTAGTCTTCTTGGATATGAGGTGAGAGTCATCCACATGCACTGCCCTCTGCCCTTCACAATAGCCGTTCTTGATACAGCTGGAAAACTCATTTGCCTAAAAAAATTACCTAATCAAATCTACCATCAAATGAGCAATCTATTGTTGATATTATGAAGGCCTTTAATCTACAATAAATCTTTGTTAGAACTCATCAGGGCTTCCAATTTGAGAGAAATGTGATTATAGCACTCTTAAAATGGCATTACATCATCGGGGTGATTGGTTTATCATTTGGAGAAGCGACATCAATCATAACTAGCATAACCACACAGTAAATGAATTCAACCTTTCTACTGCAGAACAATGACACAATAATTGCTCAAAATCAGACTTAAAATGAAATCAGAAAATGCACTTTCTTTAAATATGATGTTAAGCTAATGGAATATATTATTAAAAATCATGTTTGAGGAAATTCTATGTAATTAAAAATATGTGAAAATGTATTCCTTTTTTCTCTCATTAGAACCTGATTTCAGTTGCAGAGTCATTTTCTATGCAACAGATATTATGTTTAATTGAACTCCCATCACTTACATTCCTCTGCTTGTATTTCTTAATATAATATGCAGCACAATTATATGTGATGAAGGACAAGAGGTTTTTGAAATCTGGTGCACCTGCTGATAGTGTTTTGAAAAACACAAATATTCTAGAAGGAGATGAGACCTTTTATCCATGAAAAGTTAGGGATTTTTTTTTTCCCCCTTTTAAAAGAAGGTCAGTTCCTGTCACACCGTTTTCTAGGATGGTTTCTTACAGCTAACAGTAAGAATAGGTTCATTTCTTCTTCCTGTATACATTGTGTATGTATTTTCTTTCTGGTAATACAATGTGACTCATCTTGTTGGAATGCCATTTAAATGGCTTCAATCATAGCACAATAGAACAGGCTGCTTTTCAATCTTGCATAGAAAAAAAAAATAAGGGCTTTTGTTGCCAGCACCTTTGCCTTTACTTTTTTATATAGGATTTACTCCTATTAAACCTAATTTTGGAATCCCAACAGAAAACTGTTTGTTAGTTTTTCAACCCTAGTAAAACACCTAGGTTATAGCTACTTGCACAATAGTTTTTTGAGGTAATGGATCCATAATTAGATACATTCATCATCTCCATCCATTCTAACAATGAGAAAGTAGATGCACAATGTTTCGGAGTATTTTTATTTTGGGAAAATTCTAAACTGTGCATTAGATATTGTCATGATTCCCAAGAAGTTCCTGTAGTTTAACTGGAAGGGGGATCATGCCCGTTTTTTCAGTGTTAAGGTGTCTCTTTGGCTCAGAGACAATAATACAAAAAAGTTGGCTCAATGTAACAATATTTGCCCACAGAGTAGTTTGGATGCCGCTTAGAAGACAGGGTTTGCTTTGATTTTTTTTTTTTTTTTTTTTTTAACAAGCAGTTATTGGCAGCAAGGAGAGGGGAATGGAAAAATCTGTTTGCTTGAATGGAAAAATTGTTGTTGTTTAGTGTTGTTAGTGAGTTAGAGTTGAAATAAAGAATAAGGCTCCTTATACTTATGGACCGTAGTTTGCAGTAATTTATTATGTAAAAATATAAATATTAATTATATTCGATATAAATATCTACCAGGATCTCTTGTGTTCAACAGATATTACCTGTTGCAGTTTAATCCAGTATGTAAAAATCTTTTTTTCTGAAGGAAGCCAGACCTTTTGTTAATGCACCATAGCTGGAGGTCATCTTTGAGA